TCAGCAAAAATTGAGAATTAAAATTCATTTTAAAATGAAGTAGAAATATTAGGTATGAAAAAATATGAGTTGATAGAAAGAGAACAAAGGGTCAGTCAGTGGTAGATTGCATACACCTGAAGAGTAACTGAATGAACGGGAACATCGGCCTGAGGGATTTTCCAGGAGATAGCAAGCAAAGCTAAAGAGACCTGGCAGATGAATAAGTACCAAATAATAACATTTCCCAAAGGAAGAAAACAAAATAATGGCAAGAAGAAAATATTTGAAGTAATAATGGAAATAGGCTCCCTGGTAATATGCTAGGCTGTTATTACCACTAAAAACCACTAAAGTTACTAAATTTTAAAATATTTTCTTAAAAGATCAAAGAGCTGACATGGTGTGATAGTTAGGAATTACCGTGTAAAGTCCAGAAGAAGAGGAGAACCCGTTCATTACAGTGTTTCCGGGGGTCCTGTAACAGCGAAGGATGACGAGGATAGGAGGGGAGAGTAAGGGAGAGAAAGGGAGAGAATTATAAGCAAGTGTGAGAGAGGAAGGAGAGGGGAAGGGAGACGGGGAAGGGAGGAAAGGGGGGGAGGGCAAAGGAGAAGGGGAGAGAGGGAAGAAGTCGGGAGAAGAATCCTTTTCCGGAACAATATTGCTAATGTGTTATAAACGGAAGAGTATGATTAGCCTGTTCTTCACCTGGGGTCTAAAACATTAAAAAAAAAAAAAAAAAATTCTTGACGTCTTATGAAGTAAAGATAGCAAATGTGTACAGATCAGGATAACAAATAGTTATAAAAGCTGCTTGTTTTAACGTGTGTCCTAAAATTCAAACGAGCTGATTCTCTGGTTTCTTTCATGCCCAGACATAAAATTATCATTTTCCCGCTACAGTCTATTTAAACTGCTTGAATATCTCCTCTTAGAAACATCTAATTTCATGTTTATTGAAAGCTTTCCATAAGTAATCCTTTTCTTAAAGTTATTAAGATTTGGACAGAAAAGGAAAAATAAGCTAAACTTTGTTTTTTCATGCATACAATCCCTATATGTCTTTATTTTCATTCATTTTACCTTTCGGGGGCATCCTTACTTTTTATCATGCATTATATTACCAGTTTTTGAAATGCAAAGGAGAAAAAGGAAATATAATGGCCTCATTCCTTGGCCTTCACTATAACTATTCTCTATATCATACTTTATGAATTTATACATAAACTGTAATTTTGTGTAGGTTTTATCTATAAATGACTGTGTTACTTTAAAGTAGTTATGGAAAACTTCCATTTATTCAAATAACTGAACCATTATTTAAATCATTTTTGATAATCTTTTGAAATTGTCCATAGTTATTTTATGTACTGAATATATACATTTTCTGTATTACTTAATTTTGCCATCTTTTTAAAATTAATATATATATAATATAGAATATATATTACGCAGAATGAATACTCCCCATTCAACCAAATGAATGATTTTCATCTGTTCCCTCAAGTTAAATGCACTCATAAATGATATAAATGTAATACTATAGATACTAAATATGACGATTATTCCATAGGCTCTCCAAAGTATCTGATCTCTAAGTATCCAAATGTTTTCTTTCTATTCCTTCCTACCTGAAAGATTGAACTGTGATGCACGAGCAGACAACAACAAACAAACAAAAAATCCTAAAGTCCCAGAGGATAGCCAAGGTCAGTAAAAAATTTTGGTTCCATTTTGATTTCAAATCTTTGTTGGCTAAATTACTCTAAAATAATGGTATTAAGATTGTAACTTGTTAGCAGAGACAGTTTTAAGAAAAGGCTTAGAGATGTGTCTTTTAAAAGAATTTTCCAAAGCTTTTAAGTTTTCCTAAAAATATGGAATGGTGAAATTTAACTTTCTTGTCTGTTTTCAATTCACTCATATTATATATATACTGGATGTGCCATTATATACAGTAGACAAATATGCAAAAGTGAATATTCTAATGTTCTAACCTAAACAAAGGAACTGGTGATAGCATTGTTGGTATTCAGGTTTCCATAGATGTTTTGGGTTACAGGCTTTCTGCATCCGAGGACTTGAATTTGCTGTTTGCCCTATTACTCTTAATTTATTTTTATTTTATTTTTTTTACCTTAAATGAAGAAAGGCACTAGAAGATTCCTAAGGATCTTTTTTCTTTGCCACTATCCTCAGGCAAGAAAGAGGAATTAGCCTTGTAATCTGATCCTTTTAGTCTCTGCATTTAATTTTAAGAAACCAGGGGATTTAAGACGTTAAATTGAAAGAACAGCAGAGGGCAGTATTTACTCATGGCTGAGTCGCTTCCCTGCTCAGTTTTAAATTTGGAGGGGTCACTGTGGCAGAAATGTATGACATATGCCCTGTACCGTATTTGCATTGCTCGGCTCGAATTCTTATTTTCGAACTGGTTTCCCTTAAAGGGAAAGGAATACTGACCTGATTCCTAGTCACGTGTTTTTTGTTTTTTCTTTTTAAGAGGCGATACATGCCACTACAAAAATTACAGTAAGTAGCAGGGGATTTAATCTGAGTGCGGTACGTGGCACGTGAGCATTTTTCAAAGTTAAAGTTCATTCTATATACTGATAGTTTTCTCATGTCTATCCTTTACCCAGACCAAAAAGAAGAAAGAAAAAAAAATCTTCGTTAGGATTCCTTTGGCTACAAAAGTCAAGGGGGAAATACTCCAACAGAGATTAAAATTCCAAACTTTGCAACAGGAAAAGATCTCCATCTTTCCAAAGGGCTACCATTGTTATTGTTGAAACTCTAGGTTTGGCTACTGGCACCTGGGATCCATTTGGGAAGGGAAGCAAAACAAACACTGAGCTCCCCTGGCTTTTCCTATAGGAAGTCCAAAGTGCGGTTGGTACCGAGGCCCGGTGCCCCTAGTCCCCTGGGAAGCGGGGGCGGGGAGAGCGGGTGCAGGTTTCGGGCGGAGCCGGCCCTGGACTGCGGGAGCTCGCGGTGCGGACAGAGGGCACTGGGAGGCGGTGGTTTGGGTGCCGTCGGATCCCCGTGTACAGCAGCTCCCTCCCCTCCCGTCGAGAGAGCAGGGCAGGAAACGGTTAAGGCCGAGCTGCGCTGCGCATTCCCAGACAGGCTTTGCTTAATCCTTCCTCCCGCTCCAAGAGACCCTCACCCCGCCTTCCTCTGCTTTCTCTCGACCCCCTTACCCCTGAGTTATTACTAGCATAACAACCGCACGGTCTTCCCCCAGACCCCGCCACCGAAGTTATTTATCTGCAAACCTGACCTCACCCCCATCTATTCTGCGGCAGCCTTTTGCTGTTATTGCTCTGACGCCGGCCAAGATCTGACCGAAAAGGAGGAGGAAAAAAAAAAAAAAAGAAAAGTGAAAGAAGCTAAAGAAAAGCTAGGTGACTGAGAACATTCATGGCCTAGTTATCAGGAAAACCTTAGCAGGCTGGAATAAAAGATAGTAAAAGTACCAGCACTACCAAATATTGTGGTCTCTTGGAGGTACTCCAATCAACTGGAGTATGTTTAATTATACTTCATTTTAAGAAGGAATTTCAGGAATTTCTTTAATCTCAGATCGGATTCAGGAAGTTATTCTTTTTACCAAAAGTGGAAGAAAATAATTGCCCTTTATTGAATAAGAATGAGGAAAAACTGGAGC